GATTTCTAATTGCTGGAAATCTACTGTCTAGTGAAGGCAGAAGTGATGAATTTAATTTTCTAAGAGTTATTTAAATATTTTGTTGTATTCTCTTTTTTTTTCCAGGAACTACTGTAAATATTTAAATGCATAGAACATAGTCCCAACAGCAAGGACTTTTTCAGCCTCAGAAGCCATACAACTTTTGTAAAGCAGAGGAAATAAAAAGTGTTCCTGATTTTTTTGTAAATGTACAGTTTAACAGGTAAAAGGTAGATAAACAATTAGGCACAGAACTTAGTACTTTGGAAGAGGCAGACCAGGATTTCAAGAATGAGAACTAAAAGAAAATTTTTTTTTCCCAGCCCTACAACAAAAATCTAGCATGTCTAGTCCTTTCTCACATGGTCAGATAACTTATTTATTAAAATATGTAATAAAAAGCCTTAAACAATGAACATAGGAAAACCAATAGGCATAATTTCCCAGGGAGATAGATATGGGGCAATGAGGTTTTCAAATTCACATATAGATAAGATGCACTAATTGGTGGATATGGTCCATTTTAGAAGGCAGATATCAAGGCTGAGTGTCTTACTCCACCACAAACATCGGTACCATCTGGACAATACTTAAGATTGCCCAGGCACCTCTGTAGGAAGGTGCAAACCATGGGATACTACACATCAAATAATGCAATCTATACCTAATTATGTATCCAAATTGTCAAGTGCTACAAGTTGCTTTATTGAACAAGCATAGGAGAGGGAGCATTAGTTAAAAAAAAAGTTGTAGGGAGATGAATAAAGATAATTTAATGTATGATAGTGTGACATTTTAAAAGGTTTAAGAGATATAATTTCTGTGTAATTCTGTCTTTTTATTAATAATGCCAGCATTTCAGTAAAAAGATGGCCATTTGGCATCTCTGAGAGTAACGACAATTATAGTGGTGGGCTCATGACTTATATTGCCCATTTTGAAGAAGAGTATTCCCCAAGGGGAGCAATCAAGTATGATTAGTTAACAATTAATGAGAGAATGAACATTACACTGAGGTGCTGTATCCCAGATGTGGGCAATCTATTCAAAGAATTTGTCCCCACCTAAACCTGATCAGAACACAGTGGCTGGGGCAGCTAGGTGGTACGGTGGATAGAGCACTGTCCCTGAAGTCAAGAGGAACTGAGTTAAAATCCAGCCTCAGACCAAACACTTGACATTTGCTAGCTGTATGACCCTGGGCAAGTCACTTAACCCCAATTGCCTAAAAAGAAAAAAAATGAACACAATGGTTGCCCCATCTGGGTGGGGTCTGGATAGAGGAGAAGGTTAGCTCAATCTTCAGATACTGAAATCTTGAAATGAGAATAAAATAAAAATTTAAAAGTAAAATTTGAATCTCCCCAAATAATCAGTTACAATATTTATTAGTATTTATTATAACATATATTGACCATAATAATTTCTCTCAATACAAAAAAAAAATCACAAATTGGCCCTAGATACCAGATGTTGCTTTAGAATTAAGTCATCAGAATATAATTTTCCATTAATGTGATTCTTTATTATTTTAACATCTTAAGTAAGCTTTTTTAAATGTCAGTTCACTCAAGGATAAAATAAAATTCATTCTTAGTGAATTTAGGATTCAGATTGACATGTATAATGAAGTGAAGATGGGAATCCATCCAAATTGGGAATCCATTATTACACTTCACAAGAGAAACAATGAGCAAATTGACTGTTGCTCTTTTGATAAACTTTGAAATTTCTAAAGTAGCCTTCCATCTTGAAGTTTTCCTTGACATAACCAGCCCAGGGCAAATGATGTATCCTACCTGTGAAGGCCTTTTTCACTTATTAGCTATACCATTTTTGAGGCTTGTAACATATAGTACCTTCTTTTGTTAATTATCTTTTTATCTATGTATATAGTATGAGTATCTGTGAGCCTCTCCTCAGCTATATAATAACTGTATATTGTGGTCAAATACCATGACTTAGAATTAAAAGCTTGTTGTATTACCCCACACAATGTTGTGCACATAGTAATTCTTCAATAAATATTTGTTTGTTGATAGTACAGGGAGCAATATATACAAATAACACTAAATATACTGAAAAGATAATTGAATCAAGTGTCTTAGATTTAAATCTTGGTTCTGAAACTAGTTTTGTGAATATGAGTTAGTAACCTCTCTTACTTCATGTGACCATTGATCTCTATAAGCCTCAGTTTCCCTCAATGTAAAATGTAAATAAATTTGACACCTACATTACCTCCTTCCCAAAGTGAGGAAAGTATCTTGGAAACCTTAAAGCACTATAAAAATACGATTTATTTGTTTATTCATTGGGCAAATTTTCTATGATACACTGATAACTAAGGATAAGGCACTGCTAAGTTTTAGGTTTTTAGCTTTGTGAGACATCATATTGAAATGTCCTTTTATTGATATGCCATATGATAAAAGAATTTCAGTATATTGTTTTTTAATTTAGACAGATGACAACACTTAGGATTTTCATTATATTGACATTATAATGATACCCACCCCCCTCCAAAAGAGAGAGAATTGAAAGGGCAGAGTGCCTATAATAATATATGTTGTTTTAACTTGTAATATTTTAGTAATTCTCATGGCTACTCAAATCAGAACAATGTTTTATATTCTTATTTAGCCATATAGACATTACTTTTATGTGTATGTTGTGTGTTAGTCTTACTATACCTTGCTTTCTGTAATATGGGATGAGGATTTTTATCATATACTCATTTTTAACTGTTCGATTCTTTGGTTCTAGGGTTTTTTTTATTTTAATGTAGTTTGAAAAAGAAAATGGCTTCTTGTTGCTCAAATGACCTTGTAAATTCAGCCTAGAAAATGCTTCCAAGACTGGCTTTTGACTACCCCATATATTAAAAGAAAGAACCATTTTCTTGTTGTTTCTTATGTATGGCATTCCATCTTCATTCTCTTTGAACAAGCTATCTCCTCTGCCTGGAATTCATTCCTTCCTTATTTAATTGTAATAATAGCTAGCATTTATTTAGTGCCTATAATATGTAAGGTATGTGCTAAGTGCTTTACAAATATCTCATTTGATCCTCATAACAACCTTGGGAGGTAGATGATATTATCTCCATTTTACAAATGAGGCAACTCAGACAAACAAGTCAAGTGGATTACCCAATGTCATCCAGCTAACATGTATCTGAGACCAGATTTGAACTCAAGTCTTCCTGAATCCTGGCCTGGAACTCTATCCACTGTGTCACCTTGCTTCCTATGTATCTCAAATTTTTTTTCAAAGCTCTTTTTAAGTGCTACCTCTTATAAAAGCTATTCTGGATCTCCCTCAGAGATCCTCTCAGAAATCATACCTTCTTTAGGGGCAGCTCGGTGGTGCTGTGGGTACATTACCGGCCCTAAAGTCAAGAGAACCTGAGTTTCAATCTGGCCTCAGACCAAACACTTGACTTACTAGCTGTGTGACCCTGGGCAAGTCACTTAACCCCAATTGCCTAAAAACAAAAAAAAAATAAAACAACAAAAACAAAAGAAGCTATGCCTTCTCTAAAAGAATGTATGCTCCTTAAAAAGGGTGATGTTTCATTTTTGTCTTTATATCCATAGGTACTTAAATGCATTTCCCCATGTAAAATGCATCTTCCCATGAAAGTATCACTGTACATACTGTCTAAGATGCTAGTTTATCCCACAAAAATTTATTTAATCCATTTTTGTTTTTTAGTCATTTCTACCATGTCTGACTCTTTGTGACCCCTTTTTGCTATTTTCTTGTAAGAGATACTGGAGTGGTTTGCCATTTCATTCTCCATCTCATTGTTGACTTGCCCAGGGTCACACAACTAGTAAGTATCCAAGGCTGTTTTTGAACTTGGGTCTTCCTGACCCCAGGTCCAGCAATATTAGGGGGGGATTTAGGGAAAAGAAAACATAGAAAGCCAAGAAGGAAACAAGCATCTCATATGTGCTAGGTACTGTGTTAAACACTTTACAAGAATTTCATTTGATCCTCATGAGAACTCTGAAAGGTAAGTGGTATTACTACCTCCATGTTAGTTGAAAAAACTAAAACTATTTAAGTAACAATGATATATAGATAAATCCAAAAACCACCCCTGCCTTTGAGGGGCTTAAATATTACCAATTAATTCTCATAGTCTCTAAAATGTACCCAAATACCCACCCAGCCTTTGTTAAGGTTAAAGAGGAGTAATATCATGCTAAGACAACTAATTCTATTTTTGGAGAGTTCTAATTGTTAAGAAAATTGATACAACAACAAATAAAAACAATTATTATTCAACTAGGCAGATAGGTAGATAGATACTGGACCTCTAAGTTGGTAGTAACCTAAATCCAAATAAGACCTCAGACATTTAATACATATGTAAATCTAGGCAAGTCACTTAACATCTGTCTGCCTTATTTTCCTCAGCTGTAAAATGGTGGGTCATGATAGTACTTACATCCCAAAATCATTGCAAGGATAAAATGGGATTATATTTGTAAAGCACTTACCACCATACCTGGTATGTAGTGGATGCTCAATAAATGCTTCTTGCCTCCCAATCTTTTTACAACTAATATTTATTGACTGTTTAGTATGTGAACAGTATTGCTGTAGTTGTTTAAGAGGATACTAAGAATGATAACACTTTCTATTCTATAAACTCTGGCTTATATCTGCCATCCCTTATAACTTCAGGTTTTATAGTACATTTGGTTCTACATGTATGCTAATCAGAATTGGGCATTAATGATGTGGAAGTAACAAGACTGAATTTGCTGTGCTTCATTTAATTTTATCAAATAGATACAACCTCTGAAATGAACATATTGCAATAAATTCTAGACTTTGTTTCTTTGAGAAACATCACACATTACTTCATTTTGATGTTTTGGCAGATTTTAAATCATGCAATTGAACCTTTTAAAAGTCATTTGTATTGGTTTAACTTGATAATCTTTTTTATTATTTTTATACAGTGGGATGCCATCACTGAAATGGATGAACATAATCGACCCATTCACACTTACCAGGTATGCAATGTAATGGAACCAAACCAAAACAACTGGCTTCGTACAAACTGGATTTCCCGAGATGCAGCCCAGAAAATCTATGTGGAAATGAAGTTTACTCTGAGAGATTGCAACAGTATTCCCGGGGTTTTGGGAACTTGTAAAGAAACTTTTAATCTCTTCTACATGGAATCTGATGAGTCCCATGGAGTTAAATTCAGGCCAAGCCAATATACTAAAATTGATACTATTGCTGCTGATGAGAGTTTTACCCAGATGGATTTGGGTGACCGCATCCTTAAGCTCAACACTGAAGTTCGTGAGGTGGGACCAATAAACAGGAAAGGATTTTTTCTTGCTTTTCAGGACATTGGAGCATGCATTGCTCTGGTTTCTGTCCATGTTTTCTACAAAAAGTGCCCTTTCACTGTCCGTAACCTGGCTATGTTTCCTGATACTATTCCAAGGGTTGATTCTTCCTCTTTGGTGGAAGTTCGGGGTTCCTGTGTTAAGAGTGCTGAAGAGCGGGATACTCCAAAGTTATATTGTGGAACTGATGGAGATTGGCTAGTTCCTCTGGGACATTGTATCTGCAGTGTAGGATATGAGGAAATAGATGGTTCCTGCCATGGTAAGGAAGGAATATCAATTTACATTGCATTTAATACATGATGCATTTGCAGGTCAGATATGCGGTGCACTTATTTGGCAAAGAATTAATGTTAGATTAGCATTCTTAATAGCATGAGTTTTATAAGGAACTCACAAATTCTAGTTGATGTGAAACAGCTATCTTTCTCTACTGCCCCCCCAACTTCCCTAAAAAGTATGGAAGTTAGGTGTACATTTTATAAAATACAAAATTTTTCTCTGGGTCAATTTGTAAAATTATATATTGACAATATGAATATTTCAGTAGTATCTGGTCCTTTTTTAAGTAATGTTATGAGAAGATTGCAACTGGAAACTTATGAAAGAAATTCTCAGATGGTATGAATGGTTACAAATAGCATCTAATGGTATTTCAATTATTAGGAAGTAAATTTCAGTACATTCAATTAAATTATATATATTAAAATTAAGTATGTAAAATTAAATGCAGATTAAGTTCTTTTTTTAACTTAATTTAGTATTTATTTTTGGTCTTGTAAAATTGATGGTTGAATATTGACCTGTGTAGTGTCCAATTTTTATTTTTGCTACTACCACTTTTGATGAAATTTTGGAAAAAAAAATCCTTCTGATTTTGATGGCAGTGATGTGCATATCAACTAATTATCAGGAAACGGTCAGATTTTCCCAGTTTGTTTATGGAGCTTAATATTTTTCTTCATACATTCAGTTATAAGGTGATTGTACAGGTAATTTCCAAGTAGGAACATTTTTATTTTCATTTTGGGATCTAATAATACCCAATTTTATTAAAATTTCAATAGAATACATAGTAACTTTTTTGTAGATCTCTTGAATATTGTTATTTGTGTATTTATTTTTGTTTTGAGGATTAATTATAAAATAGTACAGCAGTCAATATAAAAAGTATTAAAAGGACTTCTTTCTCAACAGTTGTAAAATATTTGCATTTTGCTTTCTTACTCTGTTTAATTATATTTTCTTAGCAGTGAATAGAAGAGTGAAGGTATCATTTAATTATAATTTAATTATATAATATATAGTGTTCCTATATGACATGCCTATTTTGAAACACAAAAAAATACAAAGAACTCATATTTTCCTCATTTGCTTTGTTTCAAAATGTATTCATTTCTAAAATTTCAATCTTGTTTGTCAAATATCTTACTGTAATTATTGCGGCACTAAAGAAAATGTATGAACTACATTGCTACAAAGAGCACACTAATTAGTGTGTAGGCTGTCTTCTTTCATTAGGATTCAGTTTATTATTAGTACTAAAGCTAATTCACAGCAGATTCAAGAAGGGCTTTGGATGATGTACTACTAAAACTTCCTATTCATTACTCCCCTGCTAGAATGTAAGCTCCTTCATGGTACACACTGTCTTCCTTTTTTATCTATATTCCAGGGGAGCTTGATGTTGCAGTGAATAGAGTGGGCCCGGAGTCAAAAAGATATGAGTTCATACCCAGCCTCTGACACTTACCAGCTATATGAACCTGAGCAAATCATTTAACCTAAATCTGCTTCAGTTTCCTCAACTATGAAATGGGCATAATAATAGCACTTAACTCCCAAGATTGTTGTGAGGATCAAATGAGATGATATTTGCAAAATGTTTAGCATAGAGCCTGCACCATAATAGGTCCTTAAGAAATGCGTGTGTTTTTGTTTTATTTTGTTTTGTTTTTGTTTGGTTTTATTTTCTCGATGCATAATAGTGCTTTGCCAATATGCCAACATAATACAAGTTCATTGATTGTTTAATTGAAGTAGTAAGTTCAATCTTCTTTCAGTTCTTGTGCTAATTTATTTTTTAACAATTTTATTCAATTCAACCAACACTTTTAAAATACCAGAAATATTTTTTGTTCTGTTCAGTCATGTTCAGTTGTGTCCAACTCTTCATGACTCCATTTAGGGTTTTCTGGGCAAAGATATTGGAGTGGTTTGCCATTTATTTCTCCAGCTCATTTGCAAATGAGGAAAGATGAGGTAAACAGGGTTAAGTGTATTGCCATGGTCACACATCTACAAGCCAGATTTTAAATCAGGGGAAAGAGTCTTCCTGACTCTAGGCCCAGCACTCTATTTACTGTATCATTTAGCTGCCCTTGCATAACAGTATTAGACCCAGGTATTAGACGCTAGTCAGATACTAGGGATTCAATTATTTTTAAAAAGAACATTTAGATAGATAGATCTAGATAGTTCTATCCATTACAAGGCTTAATTTTTCAAAACAATCTCTTTCTATTTAATTATAATCACTTTTATTTTCTCTGACCATCTCTTTCTAATATTTAATTTTCTACTTCTCTATTATAATCATTACTTGTTCACATCTTCACATAAAACATAATGCTGACCATTAATACAATAGAAAAAAAGAAGAAATGATGAAACAATTCATTAGGGGATTTTTAAGCTGAAGGGATCTGACTATTGCTGACATCCTACTTGTCTATCTTTCTTGGTATTCACACTATGGAATGGTTCAACAAGCTATTATTAAGATACTAATCAGAACAATTGAAACAGATAAATTATGAAAAAAGTTATTCTTCAGCTTCAAGTGAATAACAAAGTCACCAGAGTTGCCTTCAGGCATGTTTAAGATTGTAATATAACCATCATTCCAATTGGCTTCAAATTTCAAAAAAAAGTTTAATGGTAACATATTGGTTCCTGGAAACAACAGGGAGAGCTTCACTAAAAATAAATTATTTGGATTGGGAAAGAACTATTGATTGAAGGGGGTTGCTGAGAACTACAAATATTCAAGGAATGAGAGGTGCCATTGACATAGTATTGTTACTATTCTTTCTATTTAGGCTTCATTATAGTAGGAAGAACTAAGTTTAAATAAAGCCTCAGACATTTACTAATTGTGTGATACTAGGCAAGTCACTTATCTTCTGCTTCCTTTAGTCTCCTCATCTGTAAAATTGGGATAATATCATCCCTGTCTTACAGAGTTGTTTTAAGAACCAAATGAACAATATTTGTAAAGTGCTAAACACAATGCTTGGCACATGGTAAGTCCTATATAAACATTACATCACTTCCTGCCTTCACTATAGACATACCAAAGGAATGAAAGGGAAGAGGTCACATGTAAGACTTCATCTATCACAATTAGGAACAGAGAGATGAGCTTCCCACCACCTTCCTTCAGAAGGAGAGTTTTATCTTCATACATACCTGCTCTGGGCAGAACACTTTTTTCTTTGTTAAAAAAAGTTAAATGAGATAAGAATTCTGTCACCATGATCTTATGAGGGGAAATGACATTCGTGTAATTATAATAAAATTATCATGTTGTCAATATAAAGGACTATATGAGATCAGAGGTGGAAGAGAACTATGCCTGATTTGTACTAGGGAGATAAGAGAATATTTCAGAAAGGAGATGTGGTTTGGAATTAGCCTTTAATGATGGGTAGAATTTCAAAAGGCAGGATATGGTGAACAGGGTGCAGAACATTTCTCGCATGGGAAAGAATGTAAGTAAAGTTAAAGGGAGAGAATTAGCTTGGCTAGAGCACAGAATACATGAAAGGAAGTAGTGTGAAATAATCCTGGAAAAGGAGGATGGTGCAAGATTGTGAAGGACCTTAAATATCAGTTTAATCATTATTTATGAGTGATGGGGAACCACTGCAGGATTTTGAACTGGATGACAAAATCAAATCTGCACATTAAAAAGACTAATCTGGGAGCTTGGTAAAGAACGCTTTAAAGAGGAAAGAGTGGGGACAGGAAGAACAATTAGTATATTATTACAACAGACTGGTCCAGTAGTAATGAGGATGGCAGTGGGTATAGAGAGAAGAGGATGAGTGAAGAAAGGTAACAAAAGTTTACAAAAGTAGAAAAAAAATAGAATTAAAAAACTGATTTTATCTGGGAAATATTATACTAACTTTTCAAACATAGCTGAAAGAGTATACTATGTTTCTCTTAATAGAAATAGGGAGGTCAGAAGGGAAAGCAAGTTTGATTTGGAAGGAAAAGGCTGAGTTGGAAATATAATGGTTTTGGACTTGGGAATGCTGACCTCGAGGTACCAAAAAGAAATCTATGTAAAGATGGCTTGTAAATAGTTTGAGATTTTGATCTGAAGCTTAGGAGTAAGGTCAGAGAGTTTAAGATACAGCTTTGGGATTTATCTGCATAGAGATAGCATTTGAAGACATGGAGTGAATGAAATCACTAAGGGAGAGACTGTAATAGACAATAATATCAAGGACAGAACCTTGTAGAAATGCAAAAATTAAAGACTATGGGAAGGCAAAATGGAACCAGATATAGGATAGCACTAACAGAAAATGAATGATTAAAGGAGTATCAGGAAGTCAAGGGATGTATAATGATTCTGAAGACAAAGGAAAAGAGTTATAAAAGAAAAATAGAATCATAAAGTTGTAGTTCTAAAGGGAATATAGAGATCATGTCTTCATACCATAGTAGAAAACCTGGGTCAATTCCCTTTTTCTCAGCCATTTTTTTCAGTCATGTCTGAGTCTGTTACTGATTTGGAATTTTCTTGGTAAAAATGCTGGAGTGGTTTGTCATTTCTTTCTCCAGCTCCTTTTGCAGATGAGGAAAGATGAGGAAAATGGGGTTAAGTGACAGGCATAAGGTCACACAGCTCATAAGTTCAGAAGAATTTGAGGTCAGGTTTGAGCTTAGGTCTCCTGACTATGGTGCAACACTCTGTGCACTGCACTCTGTCTACTGGTCAATTCACTAGATTTCAGCTTTTTCACCTGTAAAGAAAAGATCATCTCTAAAGTCCCTTCCTCTTCTAAAATTCCACATCTCATTCTCTTAACCACCCTGAATTAATTACCATAATTACTATAAGCAATTGCAATAGCTAGAGCACAGGGTCTGGAGTCAAGATCTTAGTTCAAATACAGCTTCAGACACTTAATCCTGGGCAAAGTCACTTAACCTCTGTTTGCCTCAGTTTCATCATTTTAAAATGAG